CCCCAAAACCCCAAAACCCCAAAACCCCAAAACCCCAAACAAAAATTAAATAGTTGAATTTTGTCATAATTATACGTATTTTTCTTCCAAAATGGAAGCTATCGACGAAGAGATTAAAAACGAACCGCCCATCAATAAGATTCCAGAGACAGTCGTACAGTACCAGCTGAATAGTAGTATCCAGATTGAGGAAAGAAAGGAAGAGCCCTCCTTGCAAGAACGTTCTGAGGAGAACCCTGACGATAGTATTAGGTCAATAGAGATCCAACCACTTCCCATTGTAGCTCATGATTATGTACCTGGAGATGAGGAACCTAATATACAACCAGATGTAGGAGCTTATTACGATTATTACCAACGGGAAAGACTTGAAAATGAAAGACGTTTCTTCTTAAACCTTGCAATCTTTAGAGGAGTTTACGAGATAATTTATCTCTCACCAGTGATAATCCTTTACCTCGTCAATCAAGGTAAAGACTGAGGAGCATCGATGAATGTGGTCATCCTGATAGAAATATTGCTCAGATTATGTCTTTTCAACTTAATTAGAATCCCGTTGCTAACTTTTGGAAGGAACTCAAGATACCTAATGGGAACTTACAGAATATTCGCAATACTGAAATTCTTTGGAATGTTTCTCTGGAACATCACATTTATTGTACTGTTCTCAGTATCAACCAATCGATGAATTGATAAAGCTGCAGTACTCTGGGTATCGACTTTGCTGGTTTTCCTTCAGAGCATTATAGAATTTCTCCTCAGAGTTTCATTTTTCTTGTTGCTTATAGTAGCAATAATTGCCCATAGAGCAGATCCTGAGCTCAGAGAGCTCCGTGAAATGAGAATGGACCGCAAATTAATCATTAAGATAGTCTCGAAAATTAAAAACCTCAAGCTTTCGGATAATGAACTGAACAAAGGTGAAGATAATTGCTGTATTTGCTTAGAGAATTTTGAAAACGATTCTATTGCTATCTTCCTCCCTTGAAATAAGAAGCATATATTTCACTACCCATGCATATCTGAATGGTTATCGACTCAAGCAAGATGACCTATCTGCAAGGAGATTCTTTCAATGAAAGCAATAGAGGGTGCCATTAAAACCATGAAAAATAAATAAGTAATTCTATATACTGAGCTCACCATGGGGTTTTGGGGTTTTGGGGTTTTGGGGTTTTGGGGTTTTGGGG